GAGAATACCTCATGTAACATATCAGTGTTAGGGTATGTCTACACTACCACTAGTTCGAACTAGGGTGGTTAATGTAGGCAACCGGAGTTGCAAATGAAGCCCGGGATTTGAATTTCCCGGGCTTCATTTGCATATTGCCGGGCGCCGCCATTTTTAAATGTCCGCTAGTTCGGACTCCGTGCCCGCGGCTACACGCGGCACGAACTAGGTAGTTCGGATTAGGCTTCCTATTCTGAACTACGGTACACCTCGTTCCACGAGGAGTAACGGTAGTTCGGAATAGGAAGCCTAATCCGAACTACCTAGTTCGTGCCGCGTGTAGCCACGGGCGTGTGGGAGGGGGGCACACTAGCTTCCACGAGGAGTAACAGTAGTTCAGAATAGGAAGCCTAATCTGAACTACCTAGTTCGTGCCGCTTGTAGCTGCGGGCACGGAGTCCGCACTAGCGGACATTTAAAAATGGCGGTGCCCGGCAATATGCAAATGAAGCCCGGGAAATTCAAATCCCGGGCTTCATTTGCAACTCCGGTTGCCTACATTAACCACCCTAGTTCGAACTAGTGGTAGTGTAGACATACCCTTAATGATTACAGTCTGCTGGGTGTGTATATCCTATTTTTGTATGTGAAGTTAGACATATGAAGTGTGGATCTATTTATAGTTCAGATATGCTAATGAGAGCCATTACTGATGCTTGGGAAACTTAACGGCTCAAATCAACAACCTATGAATACTCTTGTTTGTCCTGTAAGCCCAAACCGTGGTTGGCCCTAGAAAGCTGTGTATCCAGGCCACCTGATATTAAAACGTATTTTGGATCTGGCACTTTTCCACTCAAAGGGAGAAAAGTTTGAATTGAGCACAAAGAATTCCCAGCTTGGGCAAAAGGGATAGAGGAAGAAGGAAAACAATAGAGGCTGTTGCCAAATGCCAGGAAACTACTCCCCCACTTGCCACCCAAGATGCCTGCTGAAAACATCTAAGATTGAACAGGGGGAAGGATCAGGTCCAAACTAGGAGGTTGCTTAGCTTGCAAAAGATGTTTAAAGCAACTGTGTAGGGTAAGAACTTGCATGTAACAAGTTTCTTAGTATTTTAAAATTAGTCGGCATTTTTGTTTATTTAAATTAGTAACTTACTTAGATCTGATTGTTTTCACTTCCAGCCACTTAAAGCATACTTCTTGCACTTCATAAAAACTCTCTTGTTTGTTATCAAGTCCAGTGTAAATGATTGTTGGGGGGGGCGAGGGGAGAGCGAGAGCAACCACTGTTCCTATCTCTCATTCAGTGATAGAGGGCAAGCCTTCTAAGCATTCTCTGTGTAAAACTTTTACACGGGGTCAGATGGATTTATTTGGGGGTTTGGTCTCTTTTGGAGGTTGGTTTCCTGGGTGCTGAGCCCTCTTAGAGCTGAACTGGTTTAGTGTCTGTGTTGCTCTGCAGGTTACCCCAACTCTGTGCCTTGCCTGAGGGAGACCAAAGCTTCTGGCTACACAGGTGGATGGGAGCCCCACAGGGTAGGAAGACAGGTGCTAGTGGCATGATCAGTATACCAGGGGGTAACCAGAAGGGGACTTCGGTTATCTAACCTTTCACAAAACCTATGCTACAGTTGTCAAATTTTGTATTCCATTATCGTGAATGTGTGGGCAAATCAGGTATTTTGAGTGAGAAGTCACATATTCAGCTGATTCACAAATACCCCGTTTGCATGAGTGCACATACTAAATTGTGTGAGCTTTTTTTAAATCTGTCCCATAGGCCCAGATTTTCAGTAGGCTTCTGTTTCTTTCACAAAGTCATGGAAATACTTGAGCTTGATCTGCACACAAAAAACTGAGGGCATTAGAAAATTTGGGCTTTCATGGAAGCTGACTTCCAGGCTTTAAAATAAAATCATTCTACTGGTAGAATAGTGGTAGAAATGTAGCCGTGTTCTTATTATCTCTGCCGTGACTGTTCTCATGTTGTACATAATGACCCTGGCAGCTTTTAAGCTTTAATTGATGGCACAGAATGTACAATTTTGGTCTGTTGTGCATTGTTGGTCATCAGAGTTCATGAATTTGAGACTTCTGCCTAGCTAGAGCTAAGAATGCTTCCACAGTTAGTAGAATATCCTGTTTAGCCTCGTTCTTAGGGCTTCCTACTCTGCTGTGCTGATGCAGTTCAGGGTTGAATTGCAGCATCCAGTCTTGGATTCCTATGAACTCAGATTCCAAACTCTGTGAACACATTATGAGCAAACACATTTCTACATGAACAAACACTCAGTTGGAAATATGAAAGCACGAAACTCATTTCCCTGATGACCTACAAGAAACTGGAGCCCATGACCCTAAGGATGAAAAGCATAGTTATTAAAACACTAGAAAAATAATTATAGAAATACCAGCTGTAAAAGTATGAGAATCTGAAATGAAATGGAAGATTTCCTTTTATCTTCGGTACTTACATGGCCCTCAGTACACTAGCAGTGGAAAACACCTCATAATTATATTTGTGCAATAGAAAAGTGCAGCTATTCCTGTTTTACAGACAGAGAACAGAAGCCGAGAGACTTAGCCTGTCTACACTACCCCGCAGTTTGGATCATGGGGGCATGGAAAGCAGTGCCCACGAGATGGCGTGTAGTGAAGGCTGCCTCCCCAAATCTTGTGCCACTGCAGGGGGAAAGATTACCCAATTAGACTCAGGTCCAGAGGGAATGGTCAACTTGAAGTCCCTGGAAAAATCTCCCCCCAGGGTAGTCCCGAGGATGAAGTAGCTCTTGCTCCCAGCCATAGAGTTTTTGCAGTCTGAGCCACAGTGAACAGGCTTTGGGGGGGAAGAAGTGGAGTGAGGATGCGTCACAGGGAAGGGGCAGAACAGGGCATGGCCAAGGGCAGAATGGGGGTGGGGCTGCAGGGAGGGATGGGGTCAGGTAAAGTGAGGGTGGAGCCAAAGGTGGAACAGAGCAAGATTGCAGAGGAAGGGGTGGAATGGGGAAAGGCTCTGGGTTTGGAGCTCTCATCCCCCTTCCCAGCCTCTGCATGACTCTAAGGTCTCAGCGTCTGCCTTCCCCACCTCTTTTGGGTCCTTGGGAGAGCTGGGACGTGTCCTTGAATGAAAGAGGCAAGAAGCTTGAATGAAAGAGGCAAGAAGCAAGGGGAAGCTTTGTTCACTGCCCAGGAGTGTACTCTCAAGTGCTGTGTTGCAACTCCTCCATGTGCCCCTCTGGCTGCAATAGGGAGCTAGCCTCCCCAAGGGGAAGCTTTGTTCACTGCCCAGGAGTGTACTCTCAAGTGCTGTGTTGCAACTCCTCCATGTGCCCCTCTGTGGCTGCAAACTAAAAAATTGCTAGTTAACATTAACATGGTCCTCTACATCTGTGGCACTCAACCTTTTTGGGCTCAGGACTCATTTGTAAATGTTTATGGCCTGTTGCAACCCAGTAAATAGTCAGGAAGTGGAGGCCCTGGGGTAGCTTTTGTCAGGTCCTTCTGGGGTCCTGCCCTGCGTTCACTCCCACAGCAGCTCCTGTACAGTAGAGCTGGCTGGGCTTGGCTCTCTGTTCTGGGCATTGCTACCTCTGGGATTGCAGGCCTGCTCAGGCACTGCCTCCCTAACTGGACCAAATTTGCGGGAGTGGAGTTGTGACCTGGCTCATGATGAGGTTGCAGTGCCACATACTCAGATTTGGCCTAGCCAGATTCCTGTCCCATGATGGCTGTGCCAAACCTGCGTGGTGCTGTGAGCCCAGCCAGTGCTGTGGAACAGCAGGCACGGGAGCTGCTATGTGACCCTTCGAAACGTTCTGGTGTCACAATTTTGGGTGTCAAGCAACAGGCTGAGAAACCCTGTTCTATATTAATGCCAACGAGGAACCTTTTAGTTTAAGTTTACATTCGCAGCACTCAATTGGGGCAATAACAGTGCAGCACTTTGCTGTGCACTGCTATTTACACCTCTGTAGTCTCAACCCAGGGGCAGTATCGACAAGCCCAAAGTAAGATAGGAATCCTGTGGCAAAGGGGGAACTTGAACTCAATTTTACTAAGTTATTCTTCTCTGTTCATTGTGGATTATTAAACATTCTATGTTAAACAGAATATATTTTCTGTATTAAACTTCATGATATTTCTTATGAGCGGAGGTCAGTGTCCATGGGAGGATTAGATGACAGTACTCTGTTCAGGCTTCATCCACAATTCTAGTTCCACTATGATCCGTAATAAAGATAGTATTTTTCTAAAATGATAGTTAAATTGATGTATAAGAAAACATTATCATTAGACTTCAGAGTTAACAAAAGCTCATGTGGGAAGTTCGGGCTTTTAAAGTGTTTCAGTCTATTCATTAGCTCAGTAAGGCTGTATTACAAAATGTTGTATGTACTAGCATATACCAAGCTCTGATGTTTTCAGCACAATTGCATAACAGTTTTGAAAACACAGGAGCCTGATTTACATAAGCAGTAATATATTTGTGCCAGAAAACAGGTAAAAATTTTGTAGTCTAGGCACATCCTATGATAACGTTCCAAATGCGATATGAGTGCAGAGCTATTTTCACAACCATAGAGGCAAGAAAACTTGCCTTGCTTTTTAATGAAAGTTTACAATCTCTAGAAGGTGATAGGGCCCCATAGAAATACTGATATTGCATCCACTAAGTACCTAATCGCTCCCATCCCTGCCCGTGTACTGATTTTATTAGCTATTTCGGAGCTTTAAAGAGCCTATATTTTTGGGAATATCAATCTGCTTGCTTCAGCTCAGGTCTGGGATCTAGTGTCTGAGCTTTAGGACAAAACAAAGTTTTGGTCATAGGCTGTGGTTGCAGTAGGGGATATGAATGAGTTGCTACTTTTTCTGGAGGTTGTCCCATTAACCAGGCAGCAAGCAGATTAGGGAAGCTGGCCAGGAGGTGTTGAAAGTTTAGTGATCAGTGTCTCTTCCCAAGAAGGTGATGTTCGGACAATCTTTTTAATATTTCAATTTCCTCATCCCTTACAGACAGACAAACGTACACCTGGGACCGCCATGCTCAAGGGATATCAAGAGGAAACGAAAGCCAACAGCAGCTGCAGCCTCTCTTTCCAGCCCTGCTTCAGGTAATTTGATTTAACCCTAGCACTCCTGCCTGTGCAGCATTATTTGTCATGGGAGGACATTCCAGCATAGACAAAACACTGGGACCAAGACTTTCAAAAGTGGTTAGTGATATTGGGTGCTTCGTTTTTTGGATCCCCAACTTCTTTGATGCCTAAAAGGACCTTGATCTTTTTCAGGAAGTCTGAAGCATTCACCTGCTGAAAACCATGCCTTTTTAAGGTATTTTAAGTTGGCACCCAAAAATCACTAGTTATTTCAAAATCTTGGTGTGCAGGATTTCCTAAACTGGAGAGTGGGGGAAGACATTCTGAAAATAGCACAATACTTGCAGGAATATTGTGAATTAAAGTTAAACGAAACACCATTACAAAGGTGATAGTGAACTGTGGCTGTAAATGGCTTTCACAGCAACTAAAAGGGTGGCCTAATGAATAAATATATGAAGGTGCACCCATAGTGAGTTAGTATCATTGACACTGCAAAGTCAATGTTCTGTACTGCTGCTGCACAAGCCATTATTTCCACAGTTCTACAATTAAGTTATGTAACCCCATAGCAATGAGGAGGCAAGCCCCTGTACTTCCCAAATCTCTTTCACAATGTTTTGGTTCCTTCTATCAAGGAGGTCTCCGGACCCTTTGCTGCAAGAGCCTAGTTCTCACTATGGTTGATGGCTCATCTTTCAGTATCCACACTGGTAATGCTGGCTCCGCCTGGAGCCATTTACCACCTCCTAGGGGTAATGGCCCCTTTCCCCTTCTTGCTCCAGGAATGTAACATCTAGAATTCTGGGTTTTTTCCCCCCTAAGTGGATGATACCTCAGAAGTGGCTGGTTTTTTTTTTTTTTTTTTTTTTAGGGTTTTGAAAGTGACTCAGGTGTGAAATAAGTCTAAGGATTAGAGAGGCTTTTAGGAGGCAGGGAGATACCTGCCTAGAGTGAGTTTACTCTTGGAAATTTTTAAATCCCAACATTGCGATTGCTGTGTGACCCGTGTTCCTCCTGAGAGCTTGAGACAAAATTTGATGTCAGGAACCAGCAGCAAGAAAGTGGGTGGCCAAGAAAAAAAAAATGATCACATCCAGTAAACAGTGGGGAAGACCAGAGGAACTGCCAATGGATGGGTAGAATCTTGTTGGTACCTTTTCTGGGAGCTTGTGGGAAATTAAGAATAGTGGAGCTAGAAGGAAATCATGCAGTCAGTATGTTCAGATTATATGTCTTTTCAATATGCATCCAGAGGGATTTCTATATTGGTTTCAAAGGGACAAAAAGTGTGTCCCTGGTAAACAACTGAAGTGTGTCAAGTTTGCTTCTTCCTGGCAAAAGTCTGTTTGCTGGTGGTATTAGATTTTAGCAGGTCTATTTGTGGCCTTGCATATTATACCAGGATAATCAGATTCATAGCATGGAAAGTGTTGTAGAAATGTATCTAATAGCTAATTCTGATAATTCTTCAGGTATATAGAGTTCTTGATGGGAATTCTTGTCCTATCATAATACTTTATCCTTTTGCTGATTTCCAGGGTTCTTCCTGTTCAGAATGTGACTTTTGTCATTTATTACCGCTCTGTTTCTATAGACTGATCTTCCATTTCTGTGGTTGCTTTTGTCAAGATAAATTCCAACACCTTTAAACAACTTTACCCAGCCTTGTGTTTATAAGATGACAGAGACAATTGCAGACTCTCTTGTGTACTTTTGTTTGTTATTAAAATGTCAAATTAACCAGGGTTTTCCCATCCTTGGGTTATCTTGACAACATCAGTTTTTCTCAATTGCAGAGTTCACTTTGAGAAATCCTATTCCTGCAATGAAAGATAATGTTCTGGGGTGAGTTAGAATTCAGGTCCTAAATGAGGGAAGGGATCAGGCACATGTACGTAGTGCCAGATTTCTCCTTTAAATAGCTCCTTGGCTGAGTCCCACTGCTCTTGTCTCACTTGTTGACCAGGTCCTGCTTCATTGAGTTCTTTTTTTGCAACCTGAGTGCCCCGTGGAGGTGAAGGACACAGCCTGAGCTGGCTCCATCAGTCAGCAGAACAAATGGGCTTGCTCTGCCTAACATCGGGCTATCTTGGATTCCACCTCTTTTATAGAGATGAGTGATGAAGAGGGGATTGTTCCGCTTTGCAGCTGTATTAATACACATCAGGGGCCAGCTCCTGGCACTAAATCACGCTTCTGCATACATCTGTTATCAGACTCCTCACCAGCGTGATGAACAAGACTGCAGATAGAGGCTTCCTCGTGTCATTCTTTATAGGATTTTCCTAAAAGAATAAATAGCTCAAATCTCTGCCAACACTCTGTGCTGTCATTGTGATGAATTTAGCTTCTTTCTTAAACATGCAGCTACAAATCTTCTCCAGTTGCACCCTCCCCTACCCACACAAAGTTTTAAGTTGAATTTGACTGAATTCAGCAGATGTTGTTAAAGGCCATGTGAAATGCACATAGTCACTCTAATCCAGTGTCAGGAATGAAAGGAGAGACCATTTATTTGGTAACCTAACAGGCTAGCTAAGTTAATTACCCCTTCTCTCCACATGCCCTTGCTCCCTAATAAATAGAGTCTGGTAACGCTTGTTCTGTCAGAAAGACCTATATTCAAAGGCATGGCTAGATGTACGCAATAAGCTAAGGGGAGCTTCCAAATCTATATCACATTGTCAGAGCAAAACATTTCCAGTAATAGCACTGCTGCCACAGGCCAACTGGATTAGTGACTGCTGTTAAACTAGTTGTCACTGGAGAAAGAGATTGGGTATTTTCCCCAGAACTCTTGAGAACTAACAGGAAGGAATTCAGACAGGAGACTTCATTGCCCCAGGAAGTGACTTTTGTCTTAGAAATATGTTGGGCAGTTCTTTTTACTTTCTTGCCCAGAAAGGCTGAAACTAAAAGCCAGGGCTTTCCAGCTAGAATTCTATCATGGTATAAACCACAAATTCTAACTAGAAGCAGGTGAGTGAGGAGATGCATGCAGTGTATCAGACTGGATGTCCCAGATTAGTCTTCTGTAGCTTGGCTAAATGAAAAAGAAATGTGAACAATCCTCTTCTGTTGTGAGAATATTTATTTACATGTTGGCTGTGTACTTTGTGTTGTATAAAACACAGAAGCAAAAACTGTAACTGCCCTTAGATACTAACAAATGAAATCATGGGTCATTTAGCTTATTCCTGTAAATAATTATTCATGCTGTCAAGTTCTGTTAATGGGGACTGATTGACTAAGGAGATGGAGGTTGGAAATGGTATATGTAGCATTTTACCTCTAAATTACTAGCTACAATCCAGTCCAGACATTAGGTAATTGTTGAGCTTAGGTATGGAAACTTTGACCTGTTCCAATCTGGTCTTACTTGCAGAAATATTTGGTTTAGGAGATTGCAGATGGGTTCAAGTCTGTTGTGTCTTGCCACATCTGCGTAGCTCAGTGGGTCTCAAACTGCAGTCCGCAGACCACTAATGGTCTGTGGCCACCTTACAGGTGGTCCATGGCTCGTGCTCAGCCCCCTTCTTCCCCTGACAGCAGAGAGCCCACTCTCCATCTAGGGCTGTTAAACATCAGTTAATTCAATAGTCAATTAACCTCATGAATTTTTATCGGTTAGTCGACCGTTCTGTAGTCCCTGGGGGTGAGGCTGGCAGCCAGTACACTTCATCACCACTGTCAAGGCGCCTCCTGCTGTATCAGAGGCAGCGGCGTGGGGTGCCAGGCGGGAGCTGGTCCATGAGAGGAGCCAGTTTAAAAACCAGCTCTCCTCGCATACTGGCTTCCTGTCACCACACACTGCTGCACAGCATGGGGTGGCAGGATCCCCTGTCTGAGGGGGTGGGACAGGGCTGAACTCCCAGATCTCACGCAAGCCAGAACTGAGCCGGGCTGCTGACCAGCCTGCTAAAAAATTTACTGGCAAAGGGGGGAATGCTTGTAGTCTATAGCATTAACCTATAAGCTTTTGTTTATTGGTTAATTGACTACACCATTATATCCCTACTAGAAACACAGGTAGTTTAGGTTAGAATGTAATTGTATTGGTAATACTATATGGCTGCGTTTAGACTGGCATCATTTTGTGCAAAAATCTTGCCGCCTGTCTACATTGGCTGTGACTATTTGCGCAAGAACACTGAATTTGTAATGTACAAAAGCAGTGGTTCTTGCACAAATACTCCGATGCTCTTGCTCAGGAATAAGCCCTCTTGCGCAAGAGGGCCAGTGTAGACAGCCACGTTAATTTATTGCGCAAGAAAGCCCAATGGCTAAAATGGCCATCGGAGCTTTCTTGCGCAAGAGAGCGTCTACACTGGCACGGATGCTTTTGTGCAAAAGCAAATGTTTTGCACAAAGGCACGTGCCTGTATAGATGCTCTCTTGCGCAAATACTTTTAACAGAAAAACTTTTCCGTTAAAAGTATTTGCGTAAAATCATGCCAGTCTAGACACAGCCAATGTGAAAGCGATGCATCTGCTTATTTTTTTCTTGGTTTCACTCTGGGCAGTTAACTGACTTTTGAGAACCACATAGAAAAGTATGTCTATGCTCCCAAATTAATGTGTAGCATTAAATGTTATGTGGCTCTGGAAAAATAATTTGAATTGGCGTATAGAAATTACAAGTCTTATCCAAACTAAAGGGATATCTGAGAGGGATGTTAAAAAAAATCTTTATTTTTTTTAAGGTGTTGATTGCTCGCTAAATACAATAGCTAAATGGTAGAAAGTGAAGTTGACATTCCCTGCACTCCATTCTCTGAAATTCTATTGTTCTTCATGCCTTGTTTCCTGAAGGGCCATTTGCAGCATGCTGCCCATTGGGGTTCTGTGTCCTGCTAGACATTTTGTTTATCGTTCTCTACACACAGGGTTGCCAGATTCTGTTGGTTTTCGTTCATGTAGATTTTTTCCTACCAATTATTAGTAAAGTGATATTCACATAAAGCAAGGGCATTTGACGTAGGGATGTTAGATACCGTGTATTTTAGTAATTGTATAGCTGCAACAGGCCACAACAGGGATGCGAAGCCATGTAAGTGCCCCCCGCCCATTCCCAGACCCTGCACCCCAATCCTCCCCACTCACACCCCCTGCCAAGATTCCCCCACCCTCAGCTTGCTCTTGCACCCTCCCTCCTAGCCAGACACCCTACCCCCACCATGCTCCTGAACCCACCCTTACTCCTGCACTCTCTCTCCTGCTATACATTGCACCTTCCCTTGCTCTTGCCTCTTTCCCCGTGGCCAGACGCCCTACTCCGTTTGCTCTTGCACCCTACTTCCCACCCAGACATTGCACCCTCATCCCCTCCTGCCCCCCACCTCCTGCCGAAATCCTGCACCCCCATCCTTATGCCAATCCCTGGCTGCCCTGTCCCGCACACTAAATACCCCTTTTTTTCCCCACCCCAGAGCCACTAACCCCAGAACACCAGAAGAGTAAATCCAGCCCATGGGAACCCTGAACCTGAGTCTTCTCTGTCCTTCCCCTTTGCCACATGGGGCTGGAGCTCCAGCGGAGTAAGATGAGTGTCAGTTGGGCCGCACATCAGTGAGGATTGGGGGTATTAGGAGGGTGGTTTGTTGTGTGGTGTGGTGGGTTGTTTTTTTTCCCCCTCCTTCTCACTTGTGCGATCTCTGACTGATTTTTCTGTGGGTCAGTGGCCAAAAAAGATTCCCCAACCCTGCCGTAAACAGAGAAAACATTGAAACCTTTTGTTTGGACATAAATTAATTTTTTACCTTATTTAAAATGAAGTTTGATAAACTAACATGAGAAAGTTAAAGGGCTTAATCTCTTTTATTTAATATTTCCTTTCTTACTGGTTAAATTAAACATATCTCCCTCGCTGCAGCACTAGCAAAACGGCTCAGGTGTAATTATGTAATTAACAGCGAGTTTCCATTGGCAGTTGGTGATCCACGGAAAGGTTTGTATTGAGCCAGGTGGGCCATGGGCCAAAAAGTTTGAGAACCACTGATGTAGATTGTTGTGATACATTGTCTGCTGAGTCCATGGAGAAGTTTACAATGCATTTACTTTATCTGTACCATTCTCTCTATGAACACCAAAACATCACTGCATTTCTTTGTAGGTCTCTCCTCCTGCAGCTCACATGATAACTCCATCCTTTGTCTCATGATAAAGCTTGCCCAGAATGAGTTATTCTGTTGTGCATAAAGCTTATTTTCAACTTCTCTGGTGCTGATTAAGTTATCCTTTTTCATCATAGGATTCAAACTTGAATTTAAAAAAAAGACCTGCAGAATAGATGCTCTGGGTCAGGATCTCTCAATTTGAGGGTCATAAACAGATATTGGGGTTGTGACGACATTGCCTGGGAACCACTAGAATAACATACAGAACTCTTATTAGTGGTTGCTATGAGGTTACCAGTTTTAACTCTTTTCTCCTGTCTTCTGCTCCTCTGTCTCTGTCCTCCTTTTCCTCCTACTGTTTTGTGTTCCAGCAGCTTTACCTGTCCACATGGATGCAGCGGACTCATCCCTGCCAGCAACACGGTCCCAGAAGTCCCAGAGCTCTGACTGGATGGGCAGAACCCAGGCAGCAGATAAATCCACTGCTTCTGACCCAGCTAACTTCTTTAAAACACCACAAGAGAAGGGCTCTGGCTACAGCTAGAAGGTGTTTTGACTTGAAGCTGGTTGGGTTTATGACATGTTGGACTTCAAAGTGCATCAGCACCAAATGTCTAATTTGGCAATAACCATCTCATCAGTGTTGGTGCGTGATGCTCACTGTCATCTAGGCTGAGCTGTGTGCCCCACACATCCCCAGATCATGTTTGTGAATCTGTGTGAAAAGTAACTGGTGATGTTGGGGCTGCAGCTTTTTTAAACCTTCCTGCTGTTGCTGTGAGTACTTACTACACACTCATCTTCTCCCGGTGGCTGGGATGTGTACAGAACTTCGTGGGTTTGCAGATGTTGGTTGTTATGAAGCTGGTCACAACTTGGACATATTGTTCGTTTCAAGGGACTAGGGAATCTCCATCCCTAGAGGTTTTTAAATCCCAGCTTGATGAAGCCCTGACTGAGATGATTTAGTTGGGGTTGGTCCTGCTTTGGGCAGGAGGTTGGACTCGATGACCTCCTGAAGTCTCTTCCAACCCTATGATTCTATGAATATAGCAGCAGAAAGCCCCATTGCAGCTGTGCATAGGCAACAATCTGTCTTTGGCAAACATAAGGATAGAGACAAAGATTAGCTAGGATCCCTGTTCAAGAGGAGGAGGGGAACGGAGTGCAAACAAGGTTTGAAATGTGGGACTTGAATTCTGTATTAGCAAAATGCCTACAGGCCTCTCACTAAGGAACTTGGGAGTCAAGATACTGCTTCTAATGAAGCTGATGTGGTGCTTGTCCTTTCAGGAATTGCCAGTATCTTGCTATCAGCATGGTCCTCCAGCGCTTTTTGTCCTTCCTTGTTCAGAGTGTCTTTAGTCTTGCCCTGTGAATTGCAGTATTCTTTCCTTATTCCCCGTCCTCTCCATTTGTCTAGTTAATCAGACAAAGATGAGCAAACTGGAGTTATGAGCGGAAGCTTGGATCAAGTTGCCCTAAAATATCCTCTGAGAAGTCTTCATTGGGGAGATTATAGAGAGGAAATATTGGGCATCCAGCTTCAGAGGTACTGTTAGTAATCCCCTGGACGTTTGAAGTCCATGTCCCTCATGGAGCGTATTATCTGAATGCAAAGCACTCTGTATGGATTGGACCACTTCCCTGTCTTGTGTTCTCCTTTTATTCCTCAACAGTAAGTGGGTTCCCCTCTATCTCTAGGGATCTCCTCTATCCCTGATTGCACTCTGCTTTGTGGTATACGTGGGAGGGCTGTCCCTGGATTTCCATTTGTACTCTTCTCTGGGATATATATATCCCAAATATTTCTCTCTCTCTCTCTTTTTATAGGAAGAGTTTGCCTTCTCCACCTTTCCTTGCATTCCTTGATGACACATGCTCTGCATATATAGGTGAGGGTTTCTTTTCTTCCCACAACTCTTTCCTTTTCTTCCTGATTGTCCTTCACTTTGTAGTATTGATGAGAGAGGGTTTTTCCTGCTTTCTCTTTTCCAGTGTCCTTGGCTGTACTCTGCTTGTTTCTCTATCTCTTGACAGACCTCTCTACAGCTTTCCTTTGGTTTGCATATTTAGATGATGTGATTGGATAGTGTGTACAAAAGGAGTGCTTGCTTGACAACCCTGTTGCCTTGTGAGTTCTGGAGTGTTTTGAAACAGGTAGCCCTTGTCATTACAAAACCTTCTGGTTGGCTGAGTAGGTGGAGTTCCAGGCAGGACCATCCATTAAGAGCGAAAATACATTTTCAACACTATAAATCAAATCAGTGCAGGATAGATTTGAGTATGAGCCCATCAGACAATGTTTTAATTGTTTTTAAATTTTCTTGGCACTAAAATTTTAAAATTAAATGGTCAGCCATGAAGACCCATAACATAACACGAAAATAAGTTACAAAATCAAACAAAATACTTTAGAACAATCTAAACCATGCCCGATGAATAATTACATTAGACATGTTGTGCGTGTCTTATCCACTAATACCTATTTCTTATTGAGGAGAGACCCAAATTGGACTTGTGGACCATGTAAATGCCTCTGAAAAATGTAATGCGTCTTCCTTATACATATTGAAATTCCTTAGAGGGAGCGCTTGTTACCCTGGTAGAGGGGAACAGAGGTTAAACAGTAGTTTGAATTATCTGTGAACAATTACAAGCGTTGTGAGGGGAAAGATGTTCAGGTGTCGCTTCATTTTCATTTAGTGCTTTGTACAGAACCAACTCTATGGTGCTTCCCAATTAATACAGACAGACCCTATTATAAAAAGCCTCAGATCTATACCTACAGAGACGATGATGCACACTGGGAAGTGAAAA